TATTTTATATATTCCACGACTTAATACAGTTAAAAGATAATATTGTCATAAGAAAAGCTGCATTTTAAATATTGAACCGAAATAACTAAAACTTTTCAGCATTAAATTAATAAGCACAATCGCAAGCCATGAAATAGGTTTAACTGGGAAATTACAAATGGTTCTTTCATGCTACATGTTTTAATATTGCGTAAGTAATTTCCTCTATTTACGTTCAAGATTATATAACGGTACCTTAACGTCACGCCGCTGCATTGTGTAAGCGATATGGAATTTATCTCAAATATCTCAAACCAGTAGGTCAAATCATATGATATATATATATATATATATATATATATATATATATATATATATATATATATATATATATATATATATATATATATATATATATATATATATATATATTAGCTAGTTAAAGCTAGGAATTTGTCATCCTTGATTTAACATTTTCTATTTTCCTTTAAACTAATACAATATTGACTTCTCATGATCGGCTTATCAAGGTTCCTCCACAAATGCATGATTAAAGTTCGGAGACTGCTTTGTTTCTCTATTGATGTCTGCTATCGATGAAAATAAAGTATAGATATATGGAGTTAAACTACGAGCAAGCACTGCTTACTGTAAAAAATCATGGTCCCATTATTTGTTATATTTATATGGAAACGTGGTTCCAAACTCACAAAAGCATGTTTTCCAGTAACGTATTTCTTAAGAAATATGAGTTCACAATCTAACAAAATCCAGATTTTTCGTATAGTATCGTGTAGCTTTCTTTGAAACACTATCAAATATGGTGAAGACAAACAACAAAAGACGATTTCTGTTTTCCTGAGTGCTACAGAATTTCTGTTCCTATTTACATAACAACAAAGTTGGAAAATGTTGCGTTTGCATGGATAAATAATCTTTTAACCAGGGTATGTACCCGAGATTTATAAGACAATGCGTTGACTCTGTCTTGAAGCCGTTATTGCATCTTAGTTTCTAGAATGATTTCCGTGTACCAACCACATCGGTGACTTTTCTTCGACAAAGCAAAGACATTTTGATTGTACAAATTTAGTATACGTAGCTCTTATTCGTGTTTCTTTTCTTCGATAAATCCTTACAAGAACCTGACATATTTGACAAGCAGATGTAAAAGGATTTGCCCTTAGTCCATCCGTCCAGATTCGTTTCTTAATATGACCTAAACAAAGCAATTGTAGCAGAATTAAAAATGTTCACACAACTTAAAATTATAGTTTTAATTTGTCTTTATATTACGCATATCTTTCAACTAGTAACCTTGTTCTTAAAACATTACTAGATTTTCAGCATAATTGAGTAAGGCCGCGTTCAACATATATGATGCACGAATAATAAAGGTTTGAAAATTCGTTTCCGAATCTGCCTATTGAATTAATTTGATATTAAATTCACCACTCTGAGCAGATATATTCCACTGGAAATCATGCTGCATAGATTTGCTAACAAGAAAACGATTATTCACGAGTTGTCTAAAATAATAGGAGCTATTCTTTCCTGGAGGAAGAGAAGGAAGGCTCTTAAAGCATGGGTTTGAGCTCAATGTTTCCACACTCACCATTAACATTTTAGGTCATTGCTGTACATCTCTAACACACTTAAGATGCATTACGATGCATTAAGATTAAGAGAGAGAGAGAGAGAGAGAGAGAGAGAGAGAGAGAGAGAGAGAGAGAGAGAGAGAGATATGGAAGGAAAAGATTTGCTTTAGATTTGAAATACAAATCCTAAATATAACCTTAAACATCAACATGTGATAATTAAAATCTGTTCATTTTATTTCAACAAAGGTATCATTTCCGTGAATGCATAAAATAGCTCCACGGTCATTAAGAAAAGTAGCTGACGAATAAATATATAATTATCGAATAAAAAGCTACAATATTCTTTGCTAGTATTAACAAATGGAGTTTTTAAGGAATGATTATAACTGAAACAATGTTAATTAATGTAAATGTACATTTACTACCAGACATTTTCTGAAGTTTTCGAAACTGTTCATACGGTACATATATTTGCATGTTCGTAATATAATTTGATTGCGTTTGTGTATATATATATATATATATATATATATATATATATATATATATATATATATATATATATATATATATATATATATATATATATAATATATACACATATATATGTTGACTTATAGATATAGACATATACGTAATATATGAATACGTTTTAGTCCAAAGATATCATTTGTTATGACCAATTTCTTCTCATTTGTCGGCGGAGAAACTTTGAGCTGAAATTTGTTCCTCTCCGGTTTTCTGTTTGGACGTCGCCATTATTGTTCTACGTGTAAATGTGGTAACTTTAACCTTTAAAGGTAATCTTGTATTTAAATTTGCATTTACATTGACGTAATATTTCACTTGACAAACTAATAAAAACTAACACAATTATAGCTATAAATTAGTGACAAGACGTTTTGATCATCTGGAAGGTAATTGCCTATTCTTTTAATTTAATTTATTATTGACAATGTATGACCTCTTTATAATAATTTTCCCCTTTATTCGCTTAGTTATTTACAGATATAGCAGGGCATTATGTGATAAACTAATAAATTCTACCTTTATACTGTCAGTAAGAGACAAAACATAAACATTAACGTTGACTGTACAGTTTAAATCTTTAAAAGAACATTCACATATTTCCATTGTTATCTTCTCTTTCACAAACAGTTTAGTTAGCTTTTGGAATTCCTGTCTACTCTGCGTGGTCGGTATTAGCTGTTGGTTTGTTTTGATTGCAGCCATAATGTATTCCTCTGACAAAATTAGCAGGTCTTTTTGTTTATTCTTTTTTGTGCGTTTGTGTTTGCTTTGACCGTTTATTTTTAAATATATCAGTTTATTTTTTTTATTTATTTATTTATTTATTTATTTATTTATTTATTTACGACTACTTGTTCAAGAGTAGAGCATATCTAATTTTACATAAACTCTGCCCTGAAGTGCTCTTAAAAAGCCCTAGTAAGACCATATATTTTCCAGGATTATGCGTGTATTGTCTAGCCTGTCTAGATGTAAATTGGTAATCTACGCGAGGTGAGTAACATCAAAGAGCTAGGATTTATACATTATCTAGCGAGTCAAAGTAATTACAAAGTAAAACCCCTATCGTCCAAATCATAATGCGGTTTCAGAAATCATTAACAATTAATATGTTCTTTCAAACAATGTTGTGTATTATTCTTAACATGGGTATAACAATTCAGTCACAACATCATCGCCAACACGAATCTTGATTCCATCGGTTTTCAATCCTTAATAACGTTGGTAATGCATACTGATTTCCTTTATTGAGCTGTATAATTGATACTGAGATAAAACTATTGTAAATTATATTGATGTAAAATTCCTTACATATATAAAATAATTATGTTGATTATAATATTATAAATTAGAGAAAATATAAAAATACTTGGAAACTCCACGGATACAAATCTAAACAAAATAATTCAGATATTGTCTGCTCTACAATTGTTAAACTGGAAAAGATAAGACAGACATGTTTATGGCACATTTGTTGTTGTGTACAGCCACACTTGTCGCGCATTCACTGTTTTTGTCCCATTTTACGTCTTATGATGGCATCATTTCATTTGCGGTCTGGTTACAGGGTTAACAATAAAGTAACCAATGCTCGTCTTCTTCTAATTTAGATTGAGTCAAGAGGTAATACAAACTCTTTTGGTCATAATGCATGACAACACTTTCGGTATTTTTAAAGGGTTATCCATCTGAATATACTGCTCGTTAACAAGATCTTAGCTATTATAAGCGATTGTATAAAATATACATAGCTGTTGTTGCTGTGATTGTACACATTATGATTGCTGCAGTTTCGTTCTACTTTATCCTTATAATGAAAAACAACTGGATATTTTCCTAATGAAATGCACCTGAGACTTTACGATTTGTTTATGGAGTGTGCTCACTGCAATTAATGTGCCTATTATAACGACAGTATGATTTATGTCGTATTGCATGTTATTCAATTCATGTACAATTCTTCTGGCCAAAATGACTAGAGTGTACCTCTCGGATGCGGTAGGTCGCGGGATGGAATCCCTGCCGAGTCATACCAAGGACTTGTAAAATTGGTGCTAGCAGCTGCCTCGCTAGGCTCTCAGGATTAATAGGTTAGTCGGTCTGGTATCACGATAATGTTACTGGGTGGGACATGACGCTAAATGTATGTGGCATGATGCCTCAGTGCTAGACAACACTATAAACTGCCACACGACTAGACAATTGGCAAAGCTACCTTAAAATGCCAAATTACACACGTACTTATACACACACAGCACAATACCATTCTTAGTATAAATTCAATTAGAATATAATTGATATAGCTTAAAGTGTTTGGAAAAATTAATTATAATATCACGAATGAAAATTCAAATAAATAAAATCATAAAATTAATGTTCACTCTTGTAATCATGTATACCAATATAGAATATATGTGACGCATTCAGATTTACAATGACATGATTACGAATACTGAATTCTGAACGGTACGTGATCTAGAAAAATAACCTTTCAATTTAAAGTTTTTGATTGTAGTATTAAGTGCAAATGTCATGTTTTTATTTTCATAAGCATCAAATTAAATGAAATAACAGACAAAAAATCATACGGGTAATTTATTAGGAAACGTTAAAGATAGATAAGCATGTGTGTGTGTGTGTGTGTGTGTGTGTGTGTGATTTAGATGTTGAACGTCGTTTTAACAATTTTTCAGTAATATCTCTCTGATGTCTGCAGTGTGACAGTTTATAGTGATGTCTAACACTGTGGCATCATGCCAGCACACATGTGGCATGATGTCCCAACTAGTCACATTACCCTGACACCATGTCAGCCAGTCCTAACACTAACCTCTAAATGCTGAGCGCCAAGCGAGGCAGCTGTTAGTACCATTTTTTAAGTCTTTGGTATGGCTCGGCTGGGGTGTCGAACCACGACCTCCAGCATCTGAGGCGGACGCTCTAACCACTAAGCCACCGGAGCGGTTGAGGTAAGCAGGGAAGACAAAGAACGCGTAAAACCAATATAGTTGATACTTTACAAATCTCAGCAATCAATGTCATATGGGCTCTAATTGTAAATGGTTTCAGCTGCATGCAAATTTCCATCATTGCAGAGAATAGTTCATCTGAATCTTGTATTGAAACTGTAACAATTTGAAGTACAAATATCAAAATTTTGACCTCCTAGTATTTCATTACGAGACACTGAAAGTTATGTATTTTGAATCAGCATATCTCTTCCTGAATGCCAATGTTTTATTATTTTCGCAACGAAAAAATATTTTATTGCTTTCCTGTTTCATAGGATACTTTATAGGATACTGATTCCGATACAACGCTCAAAGGCAATGTTCACACTGTTTCCAAAGGTATGCACTCAGCGGACCGTACATAATCGTTAGTTTTACATTATAAATAGTGATTGCAATACTAAATACTTATAAAATAAGCATCTTAAACAGGAATCTATGTCAAACATCATGTGCTGTTTGGAAATTTTCATAACTGTTGACAGCTTTAAGCTCAAAAAACTACATGTGTCAAACCAATCAGAACGGGTCTGATTATGCAACAACGGTTCTCCAAGAAATAGCTCTAAACTTTGACTAACAAGAGTTAGGATAAAGAAAGAGCTCCATCTTCATTTCATTTATATAATTTTATGCCTGCATTAATATGTTAGATTCTTGTAATTTGATGACGATGTTCATGATTATGACGACGACAACAAAGATGACGACGAAGATGATGATGATGATGAAAAAGAAATATTGAGTAAGTTTAAGTCGTTATAAGTTAGCTACGCAGAAAATACATGTAGCTAATTTTTATGAGAGAATTTCTTTTCTACAAAGTTTTAAATTCCGTGTCGTTATTGTGATATTAATTTTTATTTATCATTGATTTAAGAAATCAATGAAAAGGGTCCCAAACTTATTTAGATTCCGATGAATTCTTTAAGAATTGCTTCATACTAGATTTGAGTTCAAAGCCATTAACAATGGAGTAGCATTATACACTTCACAAAAACATATAACAAACTGCGAAAAAAAAACAAGTATTTCGACTAGAGATTTTATACAAATCAAAAAAGAACTAAGTTTATCTCTTCGCATAGTCTGATTATTTGCAATACACCTGCGAATCTTGGATCAACTGAACATTATCATCCTCTAATTTCCGTTGTACGTTCTAAAAATATAGTTTTATCTGGTGAGAAAATTCAATATCTCAGGCCTGTGATACATATGGAATGTTCTTCAATTTTTTTTCATTATTATATGTTAGGTTTGCTATTAAAGGAAAAACAGTGCTAATTACAGAATATTTAATTAAGAGTGTTGCTTTCATTGTGAATTCGTATTTCCTGTCAATCAAAATTAAACTATTTGTGTTGTGAAGATGATATGACGAGCCCCCAGTTTTCTTTGTTACGTATCGGATCGTTGAAAGCAACACAAAAAAGAGCAAATACAACAAGCTTTGTAAATTTTAACAAACAATATTTTATTTCCTCATGAAAACACGGTGATAAGGTAAAAATATGAAACAAGAATTTCGATTTACAAAGAAGAGCCAAAATATTGTCTTAAAATTATCAAAACACATACGTCCCGTGAATAAACAGTTCTAAATCGACATAGTCTGAATCTCATTTCCGTTCCAAGATGGCGGATGATGACGTCTGACGAAGACTAACACAAATGTCCAGAATTTTTACTGTGACTCACAATTTGCATTGTTCTGTTCCAATTTAGAAATAATTTCAGCAAATGTCTTTATCCAAAACCAGTTGTGTATATCTCCAGAGAAAATAATTATTATTTAGAAGGTAGACGAAGATTAACTATCCTCATAACAAAATACGTCATTCTTCATATGTACGAACGAACAACTCGTTCCATTACAGGAGTATCTTTTTCTCAAGGTATTAGAAACTGTACAAGATGTGACTAAGATGTTAAAGTATGACTCTCGACTATGACTGACTATTTATTACAAGTAACTGAGTATTTAAACTGAAATGAGAACATAAGTTCACGTACACGCACGCTGGAGATATGGCGATTTCGAACTCTATACAATGCGTAAACAAGTATAATTAGAAATGATCTCGGTCACAACCAATCATTTACATAGCTATTTCCGAATGTTTATTTAATATGACAAAACCGTGATGCAAAAATACTGCTTACGCGAGTCACATTTACATTGTAAATAAACACGATGTTTTTAACAAAATATCAGACTCTGCGAACATAATCATCACCATAATAATAATTACATTTAATTATATAAACATGTAACAAAAATTAAACAGAAATAAAATAGAAAACATACAAATCTTAACAGACATGAAATTTAACTACAGGGTCGTAACAATTTTCATTTATACATGGCACTTGACAACAATGCGACAAGGAAGTTAGCAGTGCGACAAGGAAGTTATATAATTATATATTTATATTTTTGACTCATTATTCTTATCAGGCACATGCTTCTTGAAAATGATACAATGATAAAGGTCATATAAAAATAGATTATATTTCCGACCATATAGTGTCCTTCATATATGCCTGTTGAGAACGACACGTTAAGGAAGCTAAGTAAGGTTCTGTATCAAGAGCTCTCATTATCGCAAACATGCATTTTCAATTTTGTAAAGAAGCACTTCTGACTAACAAGCTATATTTCATTTAAAATGCCAGACGCTAATATATTTAAACACAGTAGATTTACTTATATTGTCCTTGTTGCTAGAAAACTTCTGATATATGTATCTTCTGTTTAGGATGGAAACCATCGTGGGTGGCTCATTATTATGCGATTTCAAGAGTTTTAATAACAAATATTTTCATGGAAAGAGCCACAATGATATCCATCGATCACTACGTTTTTACCTCCTCCACCCCATCATACCTCAGTGTATGTAAATGTTGTATGCTATTTTTTTGGATTATGATATGAAATTTGTTCTTTTACAATGATATACAGCTTCTACAGTCTCATTGTTTTGTAATGCTGCTTGTCTCAGTGCTTCAATTTTTAGCACCTTTAATTGATATAGTTTGTTCGAACAGTTATATTGCTATAAATACCTAGTTTAATTTTGAACCCGTTCAGTTTATCACATTTTTGTTTATGGCGGTTGCATGAAAAAAAATAAATTCTGTACTATACGGTACGTCTCATTCTTCCATTTCTTAGCACGTTTCCTTTATGGACCATTTTCAAATATTTATGTTTTGCTGTAAATACATATCAAACGATTTTGGTTCACTACATGTCATTCATGTTCAAAATAAAGTCACGAAAGTGGCCATCATCAACACAATCTTTGTATTTTTTTAATTATGTATACACATGATTTGACTTTATAATATTTGCACGAATGACCTAGGGAATTTCGTTTCTTCACTCACTATCTTACTTTCAACTGCATAGATGTCGTATAGAGATGGCGGGTCTATGCACATTTAATTTTACATATGTATGTTCCGAGGGGCCTATTCCTAGAATACTGCAGACATTCCCTAAATGTGTGTGTGTACTTAGAGGCTTATGCTTAGAGTTGTGGAGGCGTCGCTAAATATGTATGTACTGAGGGGCTTATTCCTAGAATACAGAAGACAATAATAAATAAGCATTTAATTACCGGATTACGTCTAACCATAAAACAATCAAGTGTGTGATACTGGAGGACTTCCATACGCCTTAAAATGAATATCCTTTTGTATTTTCATGACGCTTTGTTTTTGCATGTTATCTTATTAAATATCAAGTGGATTTATGAGACGTCCAGTCTTTGCCTGCCTTGCTTATATCAAAATAGAACCAGTGGGGATTGTAGCCCTGAAATATGAGTATAATCTGTGCAGACAAATATATTCTGACCCGATTAATGACCAAGGAGTGGCATAATTGTCGTGACATCATAATGAGTCTGACCTTTCTTGGACTAAAAGTTTAATATCTCCTTCAACATTTATTTTCGTGATTAAGATGAATTTTATTTCCGGATTGCCTGGATTCTGTTATTTATGTCACATTCACACTTGACTTATATCTTGATGAAGTTGCCCATGGATACGACTCAAAAGCATATCAGGGTGTATCTGGATGACTCAGAGTAATCAAATAAACGCATATAATTAATGTAATATTGTACGCAAATGAATGCTGGGAGTTGCAATGAAAATTACGCCAGTATAACTGTTACACGTATACACATACCCATGTATACCCTACTGCTGGTAAGCTTGTTTTAGCATGAAGTTGTGATCTATAATTCCAGTTTCCAGATAATTAAATAGATTAAGTATTGGTATCTGAATGTCAAATAATTCCTTTTAGACATGACTTTATTCTCTTTTTGACAGGATGAATGTTGGACATGCCTTTGCTAAATCTTTAACATGGAGTCTGTTCGTATTATGTAATCCTCTACGTGAATATGCTCTGGAGACTGATACAATGGCTTGTTTCTATCGTAATTTTGGGTTATCACAAACTAATTATCATTTCAAAGAAATCATAAATTTTACATTTCAGGGTTTGAATGTAACTCTGCTTCATTTATGGATAGTTCGCATCTTCTCTAACACGTTTGCAAAATTTATATTTTATGAATTAAATGTCAAAAAAGCAAGCACTGATGCAAATAATTTAATGACTCTGGTTTCAATGCAAGCGTGGATCAATTGTAGAATGTTCTCTACTACTGGCGTTCCAACACCATATTTACCGATTATTTATTATTTAAAAGCATGACCTAGCACACGGAGTCAACCATTATGGTCTCTGCGATATAATGCATTAGTTTCATCTCTTTGGCTCCTAATAAAGCCGTGGATGGTTCAATGCTTACTTTTCCATCAACCGTTCAGCCATATTTAATTTATCACAAAGGACATTAAAAGCAAAATGCGCTTAATCTTGTACTTACAAACTGCGTTTACGCTTGCTACTAAAATGAGTCAA